GGTAAATTATTTCAAAATAAGGAAATGAGTCTTTCTTTTTGATACAGACAAAAAAGGAAAGAGGGATTATATCGGAACTTGGAGAAAGCTAAGCGAAAAAAGCAAATCTCCTATACTGTCGAAATCCAAGAGGTTATCATAACTTCTCATGATACAAATGGTTCAAAAATATTTCAAAAATAAAGGCATTTGTCTTTTTCACTTTCACTTTTCATCATTTTAAATTTTAAAACAATGAGAAATGGCGGTGGAGGAACTATCATTTGAAATGAAAAAGTTTCTGTGATCTATCAATCAATGATATGAAAAAAGATTATAACCTTTTAAGTTAAAAATTGAGACTGATGGAATAGTAGAGATCAATTCTTTATTCATCTAGACATCTTTTATTACCTTTCCCCATTTACCTTTTCCCAATCTATTCGAAATTTTTACTTTTCACTTTTTCCTCCTATATTTTCTATATGCTTTTGAGAATAGCATTGGCCTCTAATATGCTCTATGTAAAGTGTGAAGATTCATTAGAGATGCCCGATGAACACTTCTGTCACTTCGCAATCTTCAACAGTCCAAGAGAATAGTAGAGACTTGGGATAATACTAAAGAATATAACTTAACCTAGCTCTAGCTTAATACTCGATATTTTTTATGAAGATTATCTTAGTTTGATTTGACACAAATTTTAATAAAGAAGGGAAGCCTTTTAAGATATGTGGTCTTAAATAAGCCATAACAGTTGTGTGACTATGAAACATTTGAAACTTGTCATAACATTTATATGGCTATAAATGTTTCTTATTAGGAAAATATTGAGAAATATCAACTTTTTTTAAACAGATTAATAAAAAAATAGTGCAAATCTTTTTGAAATCGTGGGAATTCCAATTACCTAAAAGCAATAATTTTCTAAAAAGTCGAACAAAAAAAACTAAAAATATATGAGCCCTAGAAATATGCTACATTATTCTTACCCCCTCCCCATGAGCTCCACAGTCCGCACTTTATTCTCTAGGCGACTCGTTGCAATCTTAGAGTTGGAGGTCTAACTGGTCTTGTCGAAATACTCTACATTAGAGAGTGTATATATTAAATGTTTAACAACCAAATCATAGAAAATTTACTACAAGTTCTTGAGACCATGCATCCCTTGATCCACTTTGAAAATAAAATATTTAAATAAATTTTGTACATCATAAATTTAATTCAACCAATCAACTACACATCCAGTCCATAAAAAATGTGAGACTTATATTTTTCAGTAGTTGATCCAATTGCTTGGTAAAAGAATAAATTTGATTCCAAAAAAGAAATCCAAAATCTTGAACATGTCAGTACAAATTAGTGTATAATGGTACCAAATGGTTGTGGGCATAGATCGAAAGAGTTATAAGTACAAAGATCCAAAGTGAGTTATTAGAAATTTTTTATTTTGTGTCTCATACAATTGACACTAATTGTAAGGCAGTTTTTTTGTCTCATAATTTTGTGGACCCAAATTTTTATAGACCCAAAAATGTAAGATTGATGTTCATAAATTTATGAGACAAAAATGAGTCTTATACAACTAATGTCAGTTGTACGAGACACAAAATAAAACTTCTCCAATTATTAATAATTAGTGTAGTACCAAACTAGAGAGCATTTTGGACAGACAGTTCAGGCTTCTAAGTAGATATTGTTGCAGATCTCTACAAGGACTGCACTGTTCTCTGAAAATATATACATCACTTCTAAACACAATCTCAAACAATACACATAATTTTGCGCCAACTCAACGCAACCTTAATTTATTGTCGGGCAATACTAACCAAAGACTTTAATGCAGAGAAAACAAAAAAGGTAATATTTTCCAAAAAGGCCCTATACCTTTCTCTTTTTGTTATCAAATATTGTCGGCATCCATTTATTGAATTCCAACTTCAAACTTCAAAGAAATAGAGCAAATTTTGGGCATCATTTATGAAATACCAGATGATCAGCACAAAGTTTCATAATTTTAAAAGGTACTATGCGATACAACGTCTTTCTTCATTTTCTTTTTGTTTCTGTTGTTTTTAAATAGCCATTTGATTTAATTGCTACTATTTACTCCCTCCGGTCCTAAATAAGTGATTTTTTGGATGTTTTCACATAGATTAAGAAATTTACCTTTTAGTATTAATTAACAATGGAATTGACCATATTAACCTTTACTATCTTACATAAATACTCCTAACACATATTCCAACACTAGTTACTCCAAGGAGAATATAGGAAAAAAAATAATTAATTCATTCTTAAAATTTGGAAAAATCACTTATTTTGGACCACAAGAAAAATGCCAAAAAATCACTTATTTTGGTTCGGAGGGAGTAATATCATAATCACTTTTAATTGAGCCATACAAGGCAAAAATAAGGTCTGTGTATACTCAACCTTCCTAGACCCCACTTATAAAATCACAGTTAATTGAGAATGCAATAAAGCTGCATGCTGATATTTTCCTACTACCCCATATGTTACAGTTGAAACCTTGTTGATTAACAGTTCACATATTTAAGCCCCACAAAAGTAGTTAAGCTGATCCAATCATTAACCTTAATGCTACTAATCTTTTCTCCCCCAACCAGTCCCCTCAATTATGGGGGAGGAAGCTATAATCCTTTTCTTGGTACTACTAACAAGATATTTAAGACTGGGACTCTCAAGTATAACTTCAATAAATGCTCTTCAATCTATACTGGGGGTCTACTACTAGTATATTTTTCTGTTAAAATTCGCTCTTTCTTTTCCGAAAAGATAGACTAGGTCCTAGACCATTAAGAAATCATGCAGTTCCCTATTCTAATAAATTGGTGATGAAATCATTGACTAGTAGTTAACAATTGAATCATCCTTCTGGATTCTGAGATTGACTCGGCACAGATTTCAATTTAATGTTAATTCTAATTAATTCTAAGCGGATGTTAGATTTTGAGCTTATACATTCTATATTCTAGAAAATGCAACTTAGTGGATTCCGAATGCATAATTTATCCATATCAAATTAAATTTTTAACACAAATATAAATTGTATTGACACCAAAATGGAAGGAAATCATCAAAGAATCAACTCAGAAATTAGAAGGAAATAATAAATAATGAGAAGATTACATAATATATATATAAATATAAACCGGCTAACTGTGTAACTTGCCCAACAATAATTCATGGTCTACGCCCGGAAGATCATCAAGATCTGCTACTCTAACATAATATTAGACAAAATAAAGTTTCTTTCTCTTTCTCTCTTCCCTAAACTGCGGGGGCAGGGAGACGCAAGTAACATTTAAAAGAAGAACGTCAATTACATATGCTAATATAAGTTTAAAGATTCCTTGCGTGTAGGGTTGGCTCAACCCTTTTTTTTTTTTTTTTTTTTGGATTTGGTATTTATTAGGCTTAATAATAAAGAAAATAAAAATAAAAAGACTATAGTTGACCAAGAGATGATACCGCGAGTCCGTGCGTGCTGTAGCCCAAGAGGAGACGTATATATATTTAATATTTAAGAAACTAAGAAGAAAACAAAAGTCTACATCCTAATTCATCATATTTAATTTTAAAACTTCAAAGAGTCATCTGAATCTCACACAAAATTTTAATATAGCAGAATGCGGCGCCTAACGATCCCCCAAATCTCGCCGCCAATCGCTCCTTTTAATCTATATGCAGTATATCTTACGTGAACTTCACATAATTGAACTCATAGTATTATAAATGATAAGACAATAAAGTTATAATTATTAGATGAAAAACCTGTAAAAAATACAAACAGATGACTCCACATGTATATTATTTTAGAGTAGTAGAATTCTAAGAATTATAATCTTTTAAGATTTTTAGTCCCTTAACAGAAAGTTTGGCATGTTACAAAAATTCATTTAATTAAATAAAAATAATAATTAAAGGGGACTCAATAATAAAAGAAAACTGTTTCGAAACTGTAGAATAGTCTATGTGGGAACATTGAGAATAGGAAAAATTGCAGTTTGATAGTTCAACAACATTAATCTTTTAAAGATCATTGAGTGATCATTTTGTAATCACTTTTCACTTTTCTCCCGTTTTAGAAAAATAAAATTATAATTTTTGTAAGTTCAACGAGATTATTTGTACCTATTGAAGCAAAGTGATCGATTTCAATCAGAAACACATAATTTCTTCTCACATGGAAATAATTGGAGAAGTAGTCATTATACCCATAAAGAAAAGAAGAAGAAAGCTAAATGTAAAGCAAGTTATTAATACAAATTTCTTTTTATACTAACAAGCCATCAAAAATAGTATATATCTATAGAAAGTATACAAAAAAAAAAAAGTAAATTTGTACTTTAGAAAATAAGGGAGATTACCATATAGTTGATTATTCATATCTTGGTCCGAATGCATGTATATGAAACAGAGTTCAGAGAATAGAAGGTACGAGGAACAACAGGGAAGACTCCTAGAATTTGATATATGCCATTGGTTTCACTGTTGATGCACATTCCCATTACAGTAGTCAAACTCAAGCTCCAATGTAAAAACCAACAATGGATATATAGTAAAAGAGGAATGAATCCACAGTAATAAAGAAACACAAAATGCAAAGTAACAGCATTTTACTATTCCAAGAAACCAATCTTGACAAGAAAACAAGGAAAATTAACCAATAAGTCCGCCATCATTCTAATCAACATATTTGTATCCCTCTCCATCCCACTTTCTCCCTAATCTCTAACTAATCTATAAGTATATGATTAGTCATATAATCAAGTACTTCAACAAAAATACAAAAAAAAAAGGAATCAAGCCGAAGATTATTATCTACATAGGTCATGAAATTAAACTAAATTTTGCTTCTTTTTCCTTGTTTTCTGAAGATCATGATTAAGAAAAGATATGGTAAAGAAACAGTAATCAATAAACTATTTCTTCTCTTCACTTCATTGTTGTTATGATCAAATAATGATCGCCATGATTATACTAATTTCTCTTTTCTAGTGTGAAGAATTAATCCATGATTCCACCATACCTTCACCTCTGCTTCCTACTGTTTCCTGCACTTTATCTCCATGAATAATATTGTTCTGGTTCCTAGTTGTTGCAGCTTGTTCTGGAGAAATAAGATTAGGAAGCCCACTCGAATTATGTCCAAGATTGTGGCTGCTCAGTCCATAATCTTCCAAAACAACACTACCCATTTTGAGCTGCGAGTCATTTGATGATGGTATTTGGAATTGCTCTAGGTCTTTGGAGCCAAGAATGGTGGAACTCTCAAGTGGGTATTTTTGAGATGACTGAAGAAGTGATGTGAGAATTGAGTTGTGTTGAATATTTGTAAAAAGATTACAATTTTGTGGAATATTGTTAGCAGCACTAGTAGTTGAAGCAGAAGCAATATTGTTAGCCAAACAACTCAACAATGAAGAAGATTGTGATGATGAAGGAGAAAGGAAGGGTGTAGAGCCTGGTTGTTGTGGTTGAATTTTTTGAGGAAAAGGCCTTCGTAGATAATTAGGTGGTTGTGAAATGTTAAGAGGAGGTCTTAAGGAGGAATTAGGTGTAGCACCAAATATATCAAATCTGGTTCTAGGATGAAAATATGATGAAGAAGTAAAGGGTGGTGCAGGAATCCCAGTAAATTCTTGAACCATAGCTCTGAAATTAGTTGTGTCTGTTGTCAACACAGTAGTTGGTGCTCTTCTTGAAGCTCTTGATCTTTTCTTTGGATTACGTACTGCCAGTTGTGTAATTGGTTGATCTACTCGTGGCACAGCCGCCGCCGGTTCAGTAGTAGTTGTAGTAGTAGTAATAGTCACGCTACCACCACCACCATGTTCAGCCGCGGCAGAAGGGAAACTAGAAGCACCGTGAAAGGATAAGGAATTAGAAGATGATGTTTCTAATAACGACATGTGGCTGTTGTTGATCTGATGAGGAGAATTATTGTGGTCAGATCTTAGGGTTTTGGACCAATCTGTATCAAGATTGAAAAGTGAAGCTGGGTAGTTCAATGACGGTGTTAATGGTGGTTGGCGTGAGATGGGGTTGAAATAATTGGCAAAAGGGTCAAACATGGAGGTATTTTGTGTGTGAAAATTAGCAGAAGAAAAAGAATCAGCAGCAGCACGTGAGTCGTACTCTTCATCACCACCACCACTTGATGACTGTAGACTTGCACTGTTGTTTCCAGAATCCATTTGCTTAAAAGAGGATAACAGCTCAGAGAACAAAAGGAATAAAGAAAGAAGAAGAAGAAACAACTAAGGACAGAGATATGGAGAGAGAGAGAATTTTTTGTTGGTTTTAGTGCACAAAAGATTTTGTTACTTACTGCAAAAACCCCATTAAAGAAGAAGACAATCAGATGTGTATTTTCAGAAAAGTACCCTCCAATATGACTTCAAACCTCTGATATAACATGATGATCTGCTCAAAAGAAGAAGAAGATGATGATGATGCTAGTAGTACAACTACTCCTTTTTCCCATGCTCTTTTTTAATTTGCCTCTGTGCCAGAACAAGTACTGTTATAAACGACACAAGAGATGAGATCGATAAATCTCCGTTGTTTTTTGCCTTCTATGGGTACTGCGTGCTACAACTAGGGTTTTCAGCAGAGAGAAAGAAAGAAAGCAAAGAAAAAAAAAGGAGAGAAAGAAAGGGAAAAATGAAGAAGAAGGTTTAAACCAATATTTATCTCTCTGTAAAAGAAAGAGCAAGAAGAAGAAGAAAAAAGAGAGGCGGCTTTAGAGTAGATATCTCAAAATTTTCCACTCAAAGGATATTACAGAGTGGGGTATGCCATGACAGGCGCTCTTCTTGAAAGGGACTGGTGTGTGTGTGTGAGAGAGAATAGAGAGTTTTCTTTTCTATGGTTTTATATTTACAGTGTGAAAGGTTGCCTATTGTTTTTGACAAGAATTAAAATCAGCCAAAATAAAGTTACTACGAAAAAGTCTAACGGGAGTAATTGATCAAGTTAAATGGATTTAATTTTCTTAAAAAATATTGGGTCGTTTTTCTTTTACATGAAATGAAATAATGAGGTAAGCATGAAGCCAAATTAGAGGAGATGATGGTTGGTGAAAGAAAGGACATGAACGAAACAGAGAGCCACTAATAATTAAGACTATATCACCTTTCATACAAGCTTACAAAATGTATTTATCCACCAAAACGTTTATCATGAAATTGACAAGTCAAAATACTCCTACTTTTATTTTATTCTTATTTATTTATTTAATTGAAATTTACCCCCAAAAAAAGAAAATAATTACCAACCCCTCTATGAACACTTGTTTTCTTTGTATAAAATAAAATGGTGTGTATTTGAGTGTTGGTTTACATAATGCTGCAGTAAATTAAACGTGGATAGGCTTCTCATTAGCTCATGGATATAAAAGCTATGGAGAAACTACTATAGCTGAAAGTTTTTTTTTTTTTTTTTAGGGGAGGGGGGGCGGGGGTCTTAAAATAATAGAAATTTCACTTTAACAATCTTGAATTTAATATTTTTGAAAGCTAAAAAATTTGAAAAATTCACCCAAAATTAATCAAAATTGCATCTTTGACTAAGTTTGAAAAATCAGAGCAAGTTTCAGAAAAAGGAAAAGTGGCTAGGGATATTATTATGAACCTACAGAGAATCTCTAATGCATGTCCTTTCTTTCCACTGAATTGTAGGTAAAATCATCATTCTTTCTTTCACTACTCTATTCTAGTGACCAGAAGAAAACTTTAGATATAACCAAAGTTTTTTTTTTTTTAATGGATGGATAGATCAGTTCAACAACACTACACGTTCGCTGCAACAAGCGGAAATTTTGCTGTCATTAATTATTTTATTTTTTGTCTAATACTATACTACATTTCTCACATTAAATGATATGCTTTCATATCCAACTTGCTTGTAGAAATGACTGCCTTGGTCACTCTACGTAAGATTGTATTTTTAACCTATTTTTATTCATTAATTTATACACACACATTTATTATGTATTTATATGTATGTTTTATATTTAACACCTAACTACGAACAAAAACCCTAATCCTAAGGCCAAATCCCTCACGTATGTTAAGTCTTACACGTAATGTCATAAAAGCAGGTGGCAAGTGGCTTAACACTTATCTCTACTGTTGCTTAAAACCTAAACACTTCACTAAATTTTAACAGTTTCTTTTGTTATTTATTTCCTTGGTGGTGGATAGAATAATATACTGATGTACATATCATATGGAAAGTGAATACTTTAAAGATATATAGGATTACATAGATACACGTGGCATTAAATGCTAAGGGAATAGATTACCTAAACCTAGCTTAACATATGTGGTTGCTTGCTTCTCTTAAACTACTCCAATGGTGTAACTCTATGTAGGCACCATCTTCTTTCCATCACATTTTATTTGATCTAGCTACTTACTACAAAGAGTCAAATGTACTTTTTGCTGCCTTAATTTTATGTTAACACAATTTTAATAGAATAATAAACCTAAATAATCTTCCACCAACCGTTTAAATTAAAAATAATTAACGGATATATAATGTATGTATAATTTATTTATATTATGGATATAATCATGTANTATATATATATATATAATAAATTAATTGAATGATTTTGATTGATACAAATATAGATGGTGGAAACTGATAGACAACATATAAGCATGTAACACAAAGGAAATTGATTTGGACCCTCCATCTTTTCATTGCTAGTGTACCTTGCAAAAGGAGTGATAATAATACATATACATTTTTATCCTAGCCATTGGATTCATATCGAAAGCCCATTGATGTAATATTCTATCTCTCATTATGGTTTGTTAGTAGTACCACACTTCATACTAGGAGTGGCAAACGGGCGGGTCGGGTTAGATATGGTTCGGGTCGAAAACGGGTAATGAAAATATGGATTAATTATTCGATTCGACCCATATTTAATACGGATAAAAAACAGGTTAACTGGCGGATAATATGAGTTACCCATATTATCCATGACTTCTTGTATATGATCACTTTTGGGAGAATTCTTAGTCTCTCTAACTTGAAGAATCCCCAATTTGAAGCTTAACAAATGTAAAAGTTAGACCCATTGGTTATCCATTGGTTACTCATTGGTTATCCATTTTCTAAATGGATAATATGACCCTTATCCATATTTGACCCGTTTTTTAAAAGGTTCATTATCCAACCCATTTTTTAATTAATAATATGGGTGGTTAACTGTTTTTTTTTAACCATTTTAATTTGCCACGCCTACTTCATACTATACCCAAAGGAACAATACAACATGGCTAGCTAGCTACCAAAAATTTCCATTCCAAAATCGTGCCACTTTTTGGGATCTTAGATTTATTCTTTTCACTTAAGGTTCGTTTCCCACGAGGATAAATGATAATAATCTCGGGATAATAGATGTATATTATTGTATTTTGTATTTGATTGAAATATGTTTTTATAAGCTATCCCAGAATTTCTCCACAATTGTAGTACAATTATGATACCACACTCTATGGGGATAATAATTTGGGGATTACTAATCTCAAAATAAAATATTAGCCTTTTTCTCAGGATCTTTTAAGAAATTCTAGGTTAAATTTGAAAATAAAAGTTTATCCAAATTTATTGGGAAAAATTCAAAAATAGGCAGATTTAGAAGTGGTCATTCAAAAATAGCCACAGTTTCAAAAGTAATTGAAATTTAGCCACTTTTCATGTAAAGATAATCTGAACGAAAATAATGTTCAAAATCTGGAAAAATACAACAGTGTAATATATTGGAATTCCAGTATAATACCCTGAAACTCCAGTATATAATACTGGAACTTTCTGCGTGTTGGAGTTCCAGCATAATATGCTGGAAGTTCATACACAGGTGCATTGATTTCCAGTATATTATGCTGGAACTTTTCGTGTTGCAGCAAAATAGTGGCTATTTTTCAATAACTTTGCAAACGCTGGCTATTTTTGAATGATCAGTCCGAAAAATGACTAGCCCGTACTATTTTTACATTATTTCGCGTAAAACTAAATCCTACACGTGCGCGCGCGCACACACATATATCCTTTTTTTGGTCCAAAAAATCAAATATCTACCAATAAAAATGTATTTACTAATTATAATTTTGTCATTATTTAGTCGTTGTTTTATAATCCTCACATTATAATCATTTTATAATTTCACAAATCAAACGATCCCTTTAGGGTTTTGTTGGGTGAAGATGTCTTTTCAATCTTTTTACATGTTCACACTTTAATATGTAATTTAGAGGAAGTGGTCTTTTCCTCGCTGTAACCCTACCTTTCCAAATATTCCATGAATAATTGAAGAAGCATGAAAAAAGAACGCTCTAATATTATTCGTTTGATCATAGTATCAATAGCTTAAAAAGAAGAAAGAATAGCTCCATGTTGTACGACTTTCTATCCTTTTCTAACAGTGTTAATGAGAATCTCATGTATTATGCATTGAAATTTTCCTAAAAGAACGTAGGTATTTACCACTATGCTAAGACTTCTTTTTTTTTTGTTAATAAGCACCACTATGCTAAGACTTGACGCTATTTGACCATTGACCAACTCAATATATTTGAATTCAATGTGGCGTTATTGTTTCGAACTCTGCAGAAACAGTTTTGCAAATTCAATAATTGAGATTTTGCAAAAAAGTATTTGTTTGAAGAGTTTTTTAGTTTGTTCTTTTTTCTTTTATTATTTGCAATACCTGACGAATAATCAGCTTGGAAACTTCCAAAAAAATCTACTTGGTTTTTGCAAAAACATTATCAAACAGACACTTTTTACAAAATTAAATAAGAACTTGGTTTGTGAAAACTGTTTTGCAGAGTTTGAAACTAATGGCACTTAAAGGAAGTAGCAAACTCGCAATTGCATAGGACAACAATTTGGGATTTTATAATTAGTAATTTGGTTGGGGTAGAATCATTAATTCGTAGAAAATAGGCAGACAGCCTTTAAGAAATGGATAAAAACACACCGACCAACCAAGAGCTACAGCTTATATTTCAAATCGAGGGCCTTTTAGTTTCAATCTGAATAGAAAACTAAATTTAATGATATATTATCTCTTTTTAAAATATAATCTGAATTATAATTCAAACATAATATCAAGTTATCACGCTAAGCTTTTTTCGAGAAAAAGAGTTCTTATATATATTTTCCATTTTTCTTTTGA